ACTCAAAACCCTTTATGGACTGAATTCTCTGATTATATCCTTCCTCCAGGATTCAAGATTGGACAAATTAATTTAATATAATATTATAAGAAATAGGGAAATTTATTATGATTATTATTTAATTCATAAATGACCACGTATTTCATTAAGATTAAATATATGTTTATTATTAAAACATAATAAAAATGTAACAACTTCCATAGGCCACGGGTTACTGAAGGTTGTTTTTTTGAATAAACTGTGATCATTCTTATATACATTTTATGTAATATATTATGAATCTATGGGTTTAAAATTAATTATTTATGCTTTTTTTTATTTACAATAAGCAAAATGTTAATATCTTAATGATGATACGATTAATAACAAATGCCGAAGGTATTTTAAAATTGTTCATTTTTACAAAAGTACACCTGAAAAACGAGTGAGCAAACAGTCGGAGAAGTGATCGGACACACCTAGGTATACCAAAATGCCAGTGAACCTGTTGTGTATTTGGGGAGATGATCACACCGGTGCCAAATTCTGATTCCTATCAATGGATGGCAGGGATTAAGGTTTAGAGTACTTAATGGCTAATACTAATGATGGGTTTTTATTTTTACTTTACGTTACGTTCATAATTTTACGTTTGAAAATGTACCTGTTCATAATCTATTCGTGAAAATAAAATAAAGTCTTAAAAGTAAAATTTCTAATGGTTTAAATTGTGTAAACAAATTTATGAAAATAATGGTTTTAGAGTGGTTAGGATTGAGAAATTATTAGCTGGGGAGGGATTATGGATTGAATTATATTGTAGGTTACTAAGTTACCTACCACCTTATAATATTATGTCTATGTTGTTAAATCTTAATCAGTGACGTATTTAGGGGGAGGGGCTAGAGGGGGCCATCGCCCCGGGTGGCATCAGATTTTTACATAACCCATCTTCTGTCAATGAAAATGAAAAATAGTATAAATAAGTTTTTTTTTTTATCAATAATATTCTAAGACTGTAACACCTGACACCACAGCCTGCTATAGATTATATTATAGACAATATTTATAGATAACAGAGCTATAATATATTATATTATTATCTTAAGCTGTGTCTGAAACTCTGAACTCCAGAACCGGGCTCTTACCAGTTACCATTCAAAGGAGCATACTCTACAGGAAAATAATGGTTGCAATAAAAGTTGATTTAAATTATAAAGAATCATTTAAAATTAACACTTATATTGTAATCATGGACTCCTCACTTACTGAAAGAAAAATTGCATATGACCTGGTAAATGAAAATTTTTCATTCTGCTTTAATATAACCGAATTAAGCATTAGTGAAGTTAGAGAAAAAGCTGAACGGTTAAGAAAACACTATTCAACGGATCTGGATATATCATTTTCAAACGAATGTGTACACTTTCGTAGCTATTTACTTACCTTACCTAAGGAACAATTATCTAAATCAATTATAGATATGTGTGTAACGGTTAAAAATGAAGGATTTGAAATTTTGAAGACATATACATATACCCTTACATAAATATTGCTCAAAGAATGTATCTATGTTGTCCTGTGTCTAACTGTTCTTCAGAAGGATCGTTTAGTGCACTAAAACAAATTAAAAGTTATTTTCGGTCGAGGATGACTGATGAACGACTAAACAGTATCGCCATATTAAACATCGAATCAGATATTACAAAAGGTTTGGACTATGATGATATAATCAATGAGTTTAGTTCCTTTAAAGCTCGAAAAAAAAATGTAAATTTTAAATATTTATTGTTTTGTAATAATTATAGATGATAATAACTAAACCTATTTTATGTTAAATATTTAAATGTGATTATTTTATAAAGATAACATAATATTTAGACTTTAGAGTTTGAAAACTTTTTTTTTTACTAACTTTTGTTCTAAAAAGGATAACGATAACGAGTTGTCACCGGAAAGTAAGCTTTAACGTGCTCGGTAGATTGAAAAAGTCAAATAATTTTTTTGTTTGTGGCGAGGGGGGGGGACATCGGCACCCAGGCGCCAAATTTTTGAATACGTCCCTGATGTTAATGGAAAAGGGACGCTACCTATCATTGTATATATCTGGTACAACATATTCTGAAATACGCCGCTGCCGTGAATTGAGATGCCTACCTACAGTCTACACTAAATCAAAACAAACTATAAGTGCCGTATTTTATAACTGACAACTGTTAATTTATTTCCTGGCGATATCTTTGTCGGAAAAATCATAAGAATACGTAAAATGTGTGTATACTACCTACTATGCAAAACCCAAAATTTAAATATAATTCAAAAGTTGATTTTTTTTTATTATTGCAACTTTTAAATTATATTTATTTCTTAAGTTTTGCATAATAGAACATAATATAATATTAGGTATGTATTATTTTGTAATTTATAATAAATTATTATATTATTATTAATAATTAATAATATAGTATACCATGGAATATTTCTGTCCGTAATATTAATTAAAGCGAACATTCATCATAACAACTGAAGTTTCCGTTGCTTTGTATAGACATTTTCAAACTTTTTAAACCTCTCAATTAATAAGTTCGATGGCATCTAACAATATTTTTATTCTAATTATGTAAATGGACAAAACTCATGGTTTTTATAGTATCGTGTGTTGGCAACCTTTAAATAACTAACTGGATACCTCAAAGAGTATCGGTACCCCCTCCCCAGGTTTAAATTCACGGGTATAAGATGACGTTTACGCCATCGGACCCATAAAAGATTTGCGGTTTAAAAGATGTCCCAACAGTTTGCTGCATATAACAGCCACAGCCAACAGGTGGTTAGACCCCATATTGTAATGCAATCAATGCACGCCAAGCTTACATTTCACACCCTATTAAATAATATTATAGTTGAATTATAAATATTTATAATTTATTATGTGCATTATGTAGATTCTAAAAACATTAATTTTCCTCAGAATGTTTTCGCATTGCGCCTATACGTGCAATATCGGGTGGAATGTGAATGGATTTTCTACGTGTAGGCTATATACACACACGGCGAATGAAGCGAAATCAATAATAATGTATAATATATGTAGTAAAAACGTTGTTTTCTTTAGTTTAACACACACTTCATCAGGTATTTATGGATCACCGTAGAAATGTTATATCGCTTAGCAGTGTTAGATGAGGTGTGGATAAATCCACAAAGATGAAACGATAGTAAATAGAATTGCATTTGAATGTTTTATTTTTATTTTTTTTTCCTATAAAATCTATATCAATTGCATTTTACAGATTAATGCACTTTTTATTACTTACAAGTAATCAAAATCTACAGAAAAGTAATTATATTATATGGCATATGCATGCTACTATATTATCTTAGGACATAACTAATCATATATTATATTTTTACGAAGTATGTTCAACTATTACAAATACGATTTGAATGCATTTTATTATTTACTATAGAATTTCATTTAAACATCGAAATATTATATTATATTACTATAGATGGATAGACACTCATGTGGTTCATACAGGCACGGATCCAGAGCAAATATCTGGGGGGTTGGGGGCAAACATTTTGTACAACACAAATACAATTATATTTTATCATTTGCTATTTAATATATAATATTTATATTTACAAAAATGGGTAAATTATGTTAAAATATGCAAAAAAATTTAATTTTTTAAATCATTATGTCATGAAACAAAATGTTGTGCTCACTGAGCAATGAGCATACTTATTATACGAACAACCAGAATATAAACAAGCAAATGTATACAAATCCGCGCTATATATGAAACTATACCAAAAAAAAAAAAGAAGGGTTATTCAATATGATGTCCCGGTTTGACGATTTTAAAATCTGGCAACCCTATATACTCTAGGCCAGGGGTCTCCAAACTATGGCCCGCGAACAAGTTTTGACCGGCCCGTGGCCTGCATAGGACGCATAGGTAAATATAGATAAAAAAATTTCAAAAATGAATTTAATATATTATATTATATTTATACCTATTTATTTTTATTTAAGTATATTGTAAGGAAAACAATATTTTATACAAAAATATAAAGTAAACATATTATTTATATAGGTACCTATATTATCATACAGTTAAAAATTATATGTGTTAATAAACTTTTGGCCCCTCTAAGAGCATATGATTTTTTTTGTGGCCCTTGAATACAAAAGTTTGGAGACCCCTGCTCTAGGCTGCTTTTAGAATATCGTTCGGCAGCATGACTGCCGTGTTATGATATGTTATCACGTTATGATGTTATTAAATAAAAATTAAATAGTATAATAGTCGAGAATCCTGAATGGTATGAACAGGTTCGATGCAAAAAACATAATAAATAATATAAGTAAGGGATAAGGTGCAACGAATGAGATACTATAATTATTGAACACGACATTTATTCTTATAATATATTATAATATTTAACAACTCTACATGTTCACAATAAAACCGGATTATAGTTTAACGATTAGTTTTTAAAATAATATATTATTTAATTTCACTGATATATTTCAATATTTGCCACATTTTCTACTTACTGTTATTAGTGCTAACCGTATTTTAAACGGAAACCCATAATCTTCTTATAATTTCATAATCCTATGTAAGAAAGTAGATATGATGTATGTTTGAAATCCACACTTAATTAATCTAAATCATGTCACAATATGATATGATTCTGATTACGCTGAAACCGGTATTATTTTAAGAATATTCGTAGGTTTTTATTCATCAACATTACTGTTAAAGTACGATTTAATTGTAACTGCTATTTGCTACTTACTATTATAGCTGGCCACAATATAAACTAGAGAAATTACCACACTGTTTATATTATATTGTTGGTAACAATTTATAATTTGAAATCGGTTCTCACTTCTCATCCATTTGTCGCTCGTCACGGTAGCTGAGATATTTTGTAAAAAACAAACTGTTTGACTTTTCTGTTTACCGTTTGGATTTTGTGTCTTCATAATATATCACATAACAGAAATGGTTGCACACACAGGATCTTCAAAATGTATGCAGCCACTTGATTTTGTCAGTGAGCTAGTTTACTCTTTGATCGACCGCCTAGACTTGGCTGTCGATGGCAGGATAACTGCTGTCGAGTTACAGTCAAGGCGCAGACTTGCAGAGGGTACCCGGTCGACCCCTGCAGAGCAGCTGAGCACTGACTCGCCCATGTACAACCGGATTGTAAACATAGCCTCACCACCGGTCCCGCCAGCCGTTCGTATGACTGCAAAATGCACGGAGCCACTTGATTTTGCTAGTGAGCTAGTTCACTCTTTGATCGACCGCCTGGACTAGGCTGTCGATGGCAGGATAACTGCTGTCGAGTTACAGTCAAGGTGCAGACTTTCAGAGGGTACCCGGTCAACACCTGAGCTGAGCACCGACTCGCCAATGTATAACCGGATTGTAAACATAGTCTCACCACCGGTCCCGCCAGCCGTTCGTATGACCAGTGGCGCCGAACTATTTTTTTTTAGGTGTGGCAATAAACAATTACTTATATAGCCACCTCCCCCTTTGGATATTGGCTATCAGAACTAAGTCGTGGGGCAACCTCCATTTTTAATCTAAAAAATATTCTCACAAGATATAATATTATCGCATTATGTCTACAATATAGCATTATTTAATATTTTAACATATTACAGTTAAGATTATCTCCAGTAAAAGCCTCCTCAAAATGAAAACCAAGTTTTTATCATCTAAAAACGATATTCACAGTCACTGATTTAGTTATTTAAGCTTTTATCTAGGTAGGTACATCATATCATTCAGTAATAATTAGAACTATTACATTTTTTTTCTTATACCCATGTAAATATATGTATATTATTTGGTTAATGGTTTGCATAATATTTTTTTAGTATAATGTACTATACTAATACCTATATTAAATAAAAATATTAATAATTGCTTTAGTTTCAATTCCAATGTAATTTTCCCCTGATTCTTATATATTCCTATACATATAATAGTATAATATTGGTAAATATAGCTATCTAGATGATATTATAAAGTTATATTTATATTACAATTTACAGCTATTTAAGTACCTCATTTTACTAATAGTAAAATATTGCATTATAAAACGTCTAATTTCGTCCAAGTTTCAACTTAAAATTACTATAAAAAAAACTGTGCTTATATATTTTTTAGATTTTTTGGTAACAGTATTACCCACTCATGAGAAATCTCGTTTTAAATTTCCGATCTTTAGCTATAAAAATTGAACATTTTATAAATTTTTAACCAAAATAACATTTGCAAATGTTCACGGTATATTGACTAATTTTGTAAAAATCTGTACTTAAAATGCTTACAAAAAAAAATAATCGTACATAATATAATGTATCTATTCATTATTTAAAAATTGCTATTATAACAACTTATGAGGAACCTTGTATTAATTGTTTAAGCTTTTAGACCCGTCTCTAAATAGGTCAAAAAAAGTCGAAATATTTTGAACATTTCATCATGTAGGTACCTTTAGACAGTTGTAATATTTTATCATAATCATTTGGTGAAAAATTGAAGTATCTATTTATAGTTGATTTTTGAATTACAACAAAATATCAAAAATCGTTTTAGGAGAAATTATTAACTAACTGTTGAATATCCATCGTAATAATTAATATCAAATGCTTAAGCGAAATGATTCCAGTGTTGGGAATAGATCACTAAAATAATATCTACCTAGATAAAGATTTTTAAAATAAAATATCTTAAAATGTTATCCAGTAATAAATTAAAATATATTATAATTTATAACACAAATATTGGTTAGGTTACAAGAACACAAGAGAATTACAAGGACAGTTACTAGTCGCGTTGACTCGTTTGTATTTTCTTTAGATAATCTGATCCTAAAATTTAAACTCAGAATATCAATATTTATATTATAATGGATACTGTCTGTACTCTGTATAATAGTAATAGAATTGGCATCGGGCATCAAGCGGTGGGATGTCAACCAACAACCACCAACAACCCACCACCGATTTAAATCGTCCTACAAATTACAACACATACATTTTATCACGACTTAAACTAGACGGTTATTTTTTTAATAATTTAAATATGTGTTCATTGCTATTGTCAATTTAGATTTAATTTGAGAAAAAAATATCAATTAATCTCAAATTATTAAACTATTATACATTTTACTACATTTATAACGAATACTATTTAAATTTAAAGAAACATATAGTGTTTTATTTTTTTGACATTGCTGACTAGCAGATAAACAGATGCAAGCACTATTTTCATCGCAGCCAATTGAGAAGTCCTTGGGTAAATAACTATAGGAGGTTAAAGTATCATTGTTTTTAAGACTTCAAACTACATTGTTATTAGCTAGTTTTTACTGTGGACAATATTCCACAACATTATTTTTAACTTGCAATTCACTATGTCATGCGAGAAGCTCAAAAATAAATCATAAAATGAACTTCGTTTTTTTGACACTTCATTCGGTTTGTGTGGCGGCTACGGTTGGTACGCGTTTTTTATGTGAGGCAGATAGATCGTCGCAAAGAACCCTGGTGCCTGGTGGTCACCCATCTGGGAGCCTGCTCGACCTCTGCACACATTATATTAGTGACTGCGTCCAATCACCGCGATTCACCAGGTTAGACTGGTTATATGTTTATATTATATTTACCAGTTTAAATTCTTGCAAATGTATTATATAATTTGACGTATAAACAAATTGTATACAATATTACAATCCTTAATATAGCAATAGTACTGAGTAGTAAAATATATAACGGTATATACAGATTAGTGTAAATTTAATAATTTGTTGATCGTTGCCACATCGATAAAATCTGCAAATATTAAAATTACTTGACCGTCATATTTAAAAGGTGATTTTGAAAGGCTTTAATATAGATACTTGTATATTTTAGAAAATTAAGGTTTCGGAAATATAGTTAAAATATATTAGACTAGGTACGTTATGTTATTTGGTATTAGCAAGACTTAAACAGTTAACCTAACTATTAATTAATCATAGAAATAATAAACTAGGTATAGGATCAATGGATCGTAGTCAAATACAATTTGAATGTAAACATTCAAATTAATAATTAAGTATATTCTTATAACGTATATAATATACTATACAGAGTATGACAGTATGTATGAAAAAAAAATTAAATTAAATATGTCCATAAATATATGTTCAATTATTACCTAATAATCGTTAGGGATCAAATGTGTACCGGTTATTAGGTATATTTTCATTGCTCAACATTTTAAAAACCTAAAATATATATAGATCTATTAGAAATTTGATAAAGGTATACAAATAGTATGTACCTACCTATTATAATAATTAAAAATATAAAATGTATCAAAAAAGGATAATGAAAGGATTGCTGAATCAAAAAACTTGAAAATTTACCCATAGACCATAAGTCATTTCATATTAGAAGTTCAAAAGTAGGTAATAAACATATAAAATTAAAGGCACACATTTTTTTATGAGCATTTTAAATTCAAATTTTGACGAAATCCTTCATAATCGGGAACATTATCAAATTATTTTGTATTTAAAAATGTATATAATGTTCAATTTTTAGAGCTAAGAACTAGAAGTCCCCCCAAGCCCCCCCCCATTTCCACCTATGCTCGTATACATTATAAACATATAATATAACGAGCCCATGGCTGATGGGCCTTTCGCTGATAAATTATTTAACTAAAAGCTGTTTTTGAAGAAATCTAGCTTATCAAATCTATCCTAAGTACACCTATAATTGTATAATTAATTTTAATTAATGCAATCTAAATTACGACCTGCAGTCACATCTCAATTGGTTGACGGAATATCACTTCACGCGTGAAACATAGCACTCTAAGTACTGTGTTGGCAGCTATTTTAAGACGAGGAAAAATAATTCAATTAATTGAAAACATTACTTTGCTTTACTTTAATTCAAACACTATATTATATAAATACCAAACTTCAAAAAAGTTAAATGCTTCTTGGAAACAATTTCACTGTCCAAATATCACAATATCATAAATAAACTAATTCTATTCGTTTAAACAGTGTATAGGCACAATCGTCGTCAAGAAATATCAATACTAGCCAACACGGCATAATCATAGATATTATATTAATATCAATGTTATATGTGACGTAGTGTTTACTGTTTATACGTCATAATAATATCATAATAATAATAATGAGGGACGGAGTGGCCGAGCGGATTAAGGCCTCGGTTGCGACGCACACTGGCGCCGGTTCGATGCCGGCCGCGGGTGGCATTTTTCTTCGCGCAAGTCACGGTGTCCGGAGAAAAGTGCCACCATCCCCCACCCGGGCATGGCAGATACCCACGGCTGCCCACTAAAAAATCTGCCAAAAGCAAAAAAACACACGTGTTTAAAACTTACAGTACCCTCCCCCACAGTAAAAACCACTCAATGGCCTAATAGTTGCCGCGGGTTAATTAATAAAAAAAAAAAAATAATAATAATGATAATATGTAGGTATATAACGTCATTGAAGGTACTTCAGGTATTACTTGTAGGTATATACAATAGTTTATTGTGTGGCAAGGGCTGGAAGTGATCAAGGATATTCTATGCAACAACCAGACTATTCTACGAAAACAATTTCATGAAAGAAAATTGTTTGCTCGTCATGCAGGGAGGTTATAATTTTATAATATGAATATAAGATGTTGCCCGCGATGTAGATAACCTAAAGTTTATGTTTTGTAATGACCGTGGTATATAGTTTACAGTGTTGCCCCAATTACATATTCGAGAGGGGTTAACATTTATTTTACCCCCAATGATTTTTTGACATCATACAGCATACATTTTATACATACATTATTCTAGTTAAGTCTCAACACAAATTAATGTGACTTTCTGGTAAGGTTTTCTTTTAACTTTTCTTTGGTAGACAGTCGAAAATTTTTTAATTTTCTCAATTTTAAATGAATTTTGTTTAAGTTTCAACTTTAGACCCATATTGAAAATAATATATTGTGGATCTGTGTTCAACTTGACCGAGAGAGGAAATTATTTATCTATGATAATTAAAAATAAAAATGTTTAATGCTCAAAAAGAGTCGATATATTTTGAACATCTTGTAGGAAATATCTTCCAGGAAAATTCTTATATATTATATAAAAATTTTGTTAAAATATAAAGTTTTTACGGTTATTCATTTTTGAGTTACAACAGAAAAACACAATCGATTTTGTCGATAACTGGTTTTGTGTAAAAATTACTTTTATATTTGTTAATTTTTTTTTGTTTTTCACGACGCTTTTGA